ATCTGCCAGATTTAGTCTTGAGGGTGTAGGGTAATTGTTTTATCTCCGCACGTTGAGAACTAGCCTCGCCTTCCGGGGGCGCTCCTCTGTGAATATCAAGGGAAGATCTGTGGGATTCAACTTTGAAACTATTGCAAACGTTGATGAAAACAGCTAACTTACGAGCAAATTACTATAGTTGACGGTGAGTAGCCAAGGCTAGAGCCGCTGTATCAAGATCTTGTAATCAGTGAGGTTGCTATAGTTCATTCCTCTATCCTGAGGATGCAAGCTTTAACGGCGTCTTTGTGACGCTTCGGGCTTGTAATAGTACTAGTCGCAGACTATGCTGCTCTGGCTGTGTCGCGGCTCGTTACTGCTCAATGCGGTGACTGGCTTAGCTGCACTGTACAGACTAGTGTCTGTTACTAGTACTATATATATTACCGCGCCGCTCCCGTATTTTCTCTTTGAGGTTCAGCTTTAATGCACTGATAAGTTATGTTAATATGTCTAACCCTCTTTTACGATGCATCACCTTTTATTTATATCTTTTACTGCTCCGTTGTCAGTATAAAATTTTACTTTTGATCCATAGTTTCAAAAAAATATTAAAGTATATTATTTAGGGTCAACGTATTTGATAGAACCTTGCTTAAGACAATGTACTCGGCCTCGCAAGAAGATTTATTTATCTTTGTTTTAGAAGGCCCTAGCACTGGAGATCCGTTGACTTAAATAATATAACACATAGTGGTTTTATAGTCGTAGGAGTTAGCCCAAGAGGAATCACAAGAGCTTTTAAGATAGCGTTATCAGAGTAACTATTACACCTCATATGGAGCGAAAGATTTCTTGTTTGATACAAATAATTAAAAATTCTAAGTGCCAATCTCATATTTTTCATTGTTGCAATGGTGGAATCGACTCAGCATAGATGTCGCCAATGAGATACAATGCCTAATGCTACTAGCGATATTACGTAAAGATCCGATTAGACTCTAATATTTAGTGTTACTGCTTCCGTCAATGGGTGGGGGTTTAAATTTAGTACAAATGTGTGTGTGGGGGGGGGGGTGGTAAAAGTAAACTACATTTAGATTTTGCGTGTCCATAGGGAATTTTGAGTAAAGTTGTTCAATGTTATACGTTTGATCCATTAAGTAACAAGCAGTTATGTCTATCATATTAATTTCCAGAATTCTTTTAATTTTGCTGCATTCTTATATATTATACTCCCTTTTTCAGGTCAAAGAAATTTTTCAGGGCCTTCAACTATTATGCAGCCATCAACATAAATAACTATGATTGTTTCAAAATTATTGGAGTAGAAAATGTATTCATCAGTTTTAATTTGATAATAACTATACTTTTAGTCTGCAGGCTAAATCTTTGTGAAAGAGTCTAGCTGACTCTTTTAAGTCATAACAAGCAACATTAAATCTTTACGCGCATTTTCTTTTTATTATAGTCTTTTTTAAGAAGGTTTCTTTGCTGACAATTTATTTTATTTAATATCATATGGAGGCCTTGAGGTATGTAGTGTACATAGACTGGTTTTTGTGATTTGATATGTAAAAAGGCTATATTATAAAATTTTAGCCAAGGTAATAAGTAACCGAAATGATGACTTGGAAGAACAGGGGAAAAACCTCTCTATAGTTGATACCAGGTACTTGTTGATATCTCCTCGCAGTCAGTCTTGCTTTGAACTGATTGTTTGACTTGACATGGAACCTCCACGTAGTTGTAAAGATAACATCATTGTTTAAGCTGTTTATATCAACTATATACCAAACCCATCATTGGCAAACAAGGGTTCTAGTTCTTCATTAACTGTTTCTCGGTGATTGCCCCTGTTATCCGATTGAGCATGGCTTCATTGTATGTTAAATAAGAATTTTGTGTCAAAAGGTTATTTCTAGTTTTTTTTTTAAGTTTAAGTGTCAATAATCTCATTAGTTCTTTTTGTTGAAGTATCCTCTATTTAGAAACGAGCTGATCATAATTGCAAGATTTTATGTCTCATTTTAATTTATTTCAAGGCTTGTTTGTTTAAAAGTTAAACTTTGTGTTATAGTTTTACTGATAACCAACTTATAAAGGTTATTTTTTTGTTCTTTCATTTTAGATGATCTTTAGTTTTTTTTATTGCAAGGGCATCTACCTGTTTGAAAACCTTATGGACACTTTTTTCCATATATTTTTCTGTCTTTGATTATATCCCTGGTTGTTCGTGTTTCATTGGGATAAGTATATTTATTGTCTATCGTTTATATTAGTATTCTCACTGTTATTAATATAACTATTACTATTAATACTTTATTACCATTACTATTACTATTTCTTTTACTAATTGCTATTGCTATTATTATTATCAATATTTTTATTACGATTATTACTTCTACTATAATCGTTGTTTTTAGTGTACTTGTGGCTGTGGTATGCCTTTTAAAATGTTCAAATTTTCCGCACTTATGGCATACTATATCCTTAAAGAAACAGGTTTTCTTTATGGCCAATTTTTCCGCTTCCTACTAACTAAACTATTTGGCTGTGGTCATAGCACTTCTTTTTCTTTTCAAAAAATATAATTTTTTAAGTATGTTCATGATTTAATTTCATACTTAAAAACTTATTTGCCACTTTCCAAGCTTCTGCAAGTCAGATAAGCGTTTTAATGTTCAGATTGTAACCCAAAGGGTACTTCTGCAGTAGCGTTCTTTTGAACAGGTTCCACGAGTCATTTTCAGGCAGACTACATTAATAACGGTCGAACTTTATGAACTCAGGAAAACAGTAAACGTCAGTATGAAATTCAAAAGCGGTCAGTTAGAGAGGTGAATCATATTAGGGATCTGAAAAACTTTTCTCTGGTTTCAACTTAATTTCTAAAAACTCCTTTTCAAGTGCCAGTTTTGCTGCAGGTAACCTACAATGAGTGCAATTTTTATTACGACCCACAAAAGTTTTAATAGATTCCATGCCCGTTCTTAAAACAGTCTTAATTTTTTTCCTTAATTACTTATCTTACTATTTTAATCAAACATTCACAATACTACTTATTATTGCTCCCATACCAGTACCCTTTTTCTTTTATCAGTGAAGTTAAGGGTATGATGTATTTCTGTCACTTTTTTTCTGCCCAATTAAGATTTGAAATTTATAATTTCGATAATTTTCGTTTGTTGTTAACTGTAAATTCTTTTTTTTTATTTATATAATATTTATTATGAGATCTTAATCGGGAGAACTAGGGACTTTTAATTTGTCGAAACTGCAACTTTGAAGGAGGACGCTACAAGTTAAATGCAACTAATCCGTTATAAGAGTACGCAAGTTTGGCCGTAGAAACCAAAAAGTAAACTAATATAATTTAAGTCACAACTGATTTTAGAATAAGATAGGAGCTGAGGTAAAATCTAAGTTAAAGCTGTGCAAGGCGAGAATAGAACTTATAGCTAGGAACTAGATTTAAAAATAGAACTTAGGTTTTTAAAGCAGAAGAAAAACTTGAAGAAGTAAGCAGTAGGTGCTTTAATATGAAGGAGGTAACAGAATCACGTCTTTACTATAGATAGAAAGCCTTAAGTAGCTACTTGTTAAAAAAGCAAACAATTATGACGACTTAAAAAATCCTTGGTCTCAACTAATATACAGCTGAGGGCGCATGCCGGATCATAGCAGTTGCTTTTCTTAATAATAAATTGTTGTAATTTTATTATAATATCTGAACGACTGTATTGTGTTTTGTTCTACATGTTTCTTGTTGGGTTTAGTCAATATAGCTAAAAGTGGTTATTATAGGCATAAGGTACAGATAGATATATTGCTGCGTATTTACCTTAGAAAAAGTAATTTTTTTTTCGCACTCCATACAACGGGGCTTAGCTTCAGCTTAATATATATTGCTACAAGGAAATGACTGTTACAAGACATACAAGTGTGTCGTTATAATGGTTTTTTAGTATAGTTTTTTAGCATAAAAGGCAATTTATACTTAGGGGCCTTTTTCGATGTGATTTGAAACAGTCAACTTAAATGGAGCATAAGCAGACGCACAACCAAATTAATGAATACTTTGTATTTAGAGTCAACTTTAAACTGTTAAACTAGCAACAAAATTTTTCTTTTGTTCATCCCTTTTGTATTTGTGGCTATTATTATTCCGGGTTAAAACCTTGATTTCTGTAGTTCTTCTTTAGTAAGGTCCTCTTCTTTTAGGCCTCTTCACACCACTTTGTGGTTTACCTTTAGGAAGGGAATATATAATACTCAATGTTTCGTGTCAAAAAGTTCAACAATGTTTTTATAATCTTTGCAAGTTAAAAAGTAAATTTTTATGCTGTAAATATTAATAGCTTTATTAACAGAAATTTATATTCAAGTCAAATTTATTATTTTTGGGCCAATAATAAACTTTTTAAAAGTAATGGAAGGTTTCACGTTTAATATTTGAACTGTTAGGCTTTCTTAAAATACTGAATTTCATTCAGAAGCCATATTAATTGAAGCATGACTTGTGGTGAGAGTGGAGTAGTAGTTGTTTTACTGCTATTCATCCAGGAGAAGACTTCTCTTCGTTCCCAACAAGTATCTTTAAAAGAGTGTCAAATAATAGGAGAGTGCTTCTACTTGCTGTACTGTGCTTTCTTATTTAAAAATTCTTCTTACACAGGCTTAAATCTAAGCAATCACATACTTAAAAAGAAGTTCATTGATACTTATACTTATTAAAAATTTTTTAAAAATAAAAAAAAAATTAAATATAGTAATAAAAAAACTAGAGTAAAATAGTATATTTGATTCTATTAGTAAAATATATGTAGACAAGTTTTAAAGCATATCCGTAATAAAAAGGAAATTGAAAAAAAAAAGTTATGAAAAACACTCAGCTTCTCTGGCGTAAAGATGCGCTATTGGTAATAGCGATATACATAAACAAGCCGAACGGGTAACTACAGAGGAAGCAGTAAAAAAAATTGAATGAAAACTGCGTATAGTTAAACAGGTAACAATAATTTAATAATACTTTCAAATACACAATAGTTAATATTTTTAACTAATTATTTTAAAAAAATCGGAGTGCTTGACTTCTACTTCTTTTTATTAGGCTTCGACTCCACCTTAAACGTGTGATTCTCGTTTTTCAAATGATGAAAAAGTTTATTTCTGGATTCAAAAGTTGATCCGCAAGTGTTACATATAATAACCTTTTCACAAATATATTAGAGCTCGCATGACATAATAAAGCAAGCCTACTTTGTAGTCAGCTTTATTCACTTCTTTAGCCTCCTCTTTGCTTTCCGAACGGAAATCTTTAGTTATGTCTAAATTCGTAGTGTAATAAAAAAATTTTCTGCCTTAAAAGAAGTATTACCCTTTCTGTTCCCATTCTCTTCTGAGACAAGTTCCACAGAACCTATTAGATGAGGCTTTTGCCTTTTTTTACTAATTTTTGCTACATAGCTGTCGCTAAGAGTCAAATAATGCTCTAGTTCACTTTCAACGCCATAATTTTCTGCTTCTGGTAAACTTTTCTTTTTAGATTTTCTCTTAATAAATTCGACTTCCTTCATCTTCTACGTATCAATTGAAATTAAAGCCGCCAACAAGTATAAACACATAAAACATTTTCTTCTCTTAGTAGCGCTGGAATCTTCTGTTCGCTTTGGCATAACCTCTCTGCAAAAAACTTAGTAAGACTAGAGAACAGTAAAAAGAGGCATCAACGGAGGCGAAAATATAGGCAGAGCGTCCAAAATACGAAAAGTGAACCGTCCGACAATAAATCCTGGCGGAGTTGAGCATGCCTTTTAGAGTGTGCTTTAGAGCGCGTATGCTGCGTAAAACTGTAACAACGAAGGAAAATGCTTCAGCCGAAAGCCCGGGAAAATGCGGAATAATACGTCTTTGACGAGCTAAAAAGTTTATCGCAAACCACACAGAAAAAGGAATCCGTAACTTTTTCAGCTTCATCAGAAGAAAACTTAAAAATAAAAATAGCAATAAGCGTGCAGGACTTCAAGAAGCAGAGAAACTGAACCGGCTCCGGATCATCTAGTACCCATAAATGGGGAAGCCAGGAGCCTTCGGGTTGGTCAAAAGTTTTCTTAGGTATTTTGTGGACACTCGAAACGGATTTCTTATTTTGCTGATTGGAGCGTCTCGTTGGTTCGCTCAGTCGCCGGTCACGTCTCTTTACAAACAGCACTAAACTCTGAGAAGTAGAAGTCAAAAGGCAAATATTAAAACCACACAGATTGCCAGCAATCAGAGAAATAACGACATATCCCTGACAAAAAGATTTAAACGACTAGCCTGCAACAATAGCAAAATTTAAAAAGTGCTTCTACCCTAACAGCTTCGTTGTACTCCTTTTTAGTAGCCGCACGAAGCTTGGAGTTTTCCTTTTCCATAAATCTACGAACTGTGCGGTTTGGTGCCTGTTTGGCGGGGCGAACTTAGCCACTACATATATGATATACATTAAAAATCAAACCTGCCTCAGATCATACTTGTCCAAGTGGGAAAAAGATCTAGTGGTCGAATATCTAGTCCAAAAATTATAAAACGTTGCACAGAATTCCGGATTACTCGATGACTTAAAAGGAGTGGAAAACATGTAATGAAGTAAGAGGAATAAATTAACTAAAGGATTACATCCCCAAAACTGGGATAGTTAACGCTGGATTTAAAAAACTTATCTTCCTGAGCTATTGTATAAAATAGATTGCCTATAAAAAATTAGACTTTTAAAAAACTGTAAATGAAGCAAATATTATTATAGTATAAAAAACCATAAACAGAATAAAAGCTACTCGGGCCGTCATCATATCCCTCATAACAAAAGGAAGAGTAGTAACGAAAAATGTCTACTGTGTTCTTTCCTTGTGGACCTTGAAAGGAGTCGAAAGTGCGAAATTCTAACTCAATAGTAAAAAACCATTCCCTAGAATTTCTTCCCTATGAGAATCGAACCTAGACCAAGGCAAAGCAAGAAAAACTCAACTTATTTACATAAGGCCAACTACCAATAACAGAAGTTGTAATACCAAGCTCTTTCCTGTGGATCGCTGAGTAACTCATAAGCTTTTTGTATCTCTAAAAAGTGTTTAGTAGCTTCTTCTTTGTCAACATCAATTCTTTTATCTGTGTAAAGTAATATCAAAGAATAAGCTTCAAAGATTTATCTAAAACAATCTAGTTTAAAGTCTTTTTAAGGAAAAGCAATTGACACTGGTATCAACTAGATTAAAAGTTCTAATTACCAGGATGAAACTTTAATAGTAAACTTCTGTAAGCCTTTTTTAAATCTTCAGAATGAACTTGCCTATCCACAGACAAAATTTGATAAGGACACCTCATCGCTTCCATTAAATAAAATGATAGTAAGTGTAAAAATGAAAAATTATAGCCTAGCAAGATCAATAATAGGTAAATCTAAATCAGTGACCCTTTTTTATCAAGGCAAGTATACCTCCCGCACAAAAAAACCTCTTTTGGCCTCTTCTTCTCAGACCACAAACGCTCTTCAGAAAACAAACCTGGACTTAAGAGTGGACACCAAAGACGTATGGGTTTAAGGCTTGTTCTAGTAGAGTTGCTAAGTGGCTAAGTCTTTGTAAGCAGAGGGGGCGAATTCATTTTATTCGTCTCCTATCGGAGTTATTAATACCCAGATAACCCCTGCCCGTGTTAATTTCTAATTGCTGGTATAGTTAGTTTGTGGTGCGTTAATAGTAAGAGGACAATGCTCAAGAAAAATATACATGTGATTATATAAGTTTGGCTAGCACGCTCGGTACAGCTTTTTCCTTTTTCTTGTTGCAGTTGGGTTTGGTGCGCTAGGAGGGCCTGTGATAATCAAATAAATGTACAGTGCTTTCTAGTACTTCGACTTTCCTAATTAAATCACTTTATTGTCTATAAATACTTTATACTATCTATACTATTTTACTGCCTATAATGTACTATTTTTTGAAGACTTACAGTCCGTGATATCAACAGGTTTATAAATTATATAGCTTAAAGTTTATCGATTATATTTTTTTTTCCTGTAGGGATTTTTTCGTGCACTGGCACTATTTACTCTAGTGATAGAAGGATAATAAAGATTACTCAGTCAAAAACTATATATTATTTATTAATTTCACTAGCCCTGCGACGCTACTCAACGCAAGAAGCAGGCCAACCCACAACCACGCGTTAGAGAAAAGAGATCTCCCGAGCTTCGCCAGCTAGCTTAATACATAATTTACAACTTAGCCCTCACTAAGTTATAGGCACTTACTTACTACAGTAGTTTCAAGTAGTAAGGCCTACTGCCTTGCATATTAAAAACAGTTTAATATAGTTCGCATGGGTTTGCTTGGGTAGACTAGAAATTACGTGGAAAAAGTATAAATAACAAGCAGGTATATAGGTTGTATATTTATTAGTCAAGTAGGATCCCAGTAAATTATAGAAGGGCGACAGTGGTTTTTTAATTTCCGATAGATAAACTTGTTTACCGTGGACATTAACAAAAAGTGCGTAAAGGGGTTCATATATTACATTGACTATGTTTTTTACCAGTTTCAATGTTCAAGCTCTTCCCGTGGCCTTCTCATGCCGTTAACCAAGTGTAATAAATTTTTACGTGGTTTTGCACTTATCATTGCTAGCTTGAACTTGAGGAGAGACCTAGATATTCTTTATTCTCTTTACAGCCGGGTGCTATTCCTTGTCTTAGTTCTTTTCTGTTCTGTTCTTTTTTTTAGTTTATTTAAATGAAATTATTAAGTGTACATTTATATTATTAAAGATATCTCCTCGTTTTTAACACTTAACCATCTTCATAGAAGTAACAACCTCTTGGTTCGTTATACTTAACGTATTGGTAGTTACTCCTTATACTTTGTATAGTTTTTTCTCTTTTCAACCCCAAATTAGTTAATTTTTGATAGACGAAAAGCATTATCTTCATCCCCCTTCTGCTTTTTAAAAAAAAGAATGACTATTTTATTGTTAAAATCAATTCCTTCTATATGTCAATATCACGTCTAGCGCAAGGAAACAAGTGCAAGAAACCTTTAAGTAAAAAACCTGAAAACCTGTGCTACTTTTCTGAATTATATAAATGCATGCATGCATAAGATAAATATTTTTAAAAGATTATAAAGCAATTACCAACGAAAATTAGTGACACCCCTCTATTTCTTTACTTTTTTTGATGGAAAAGCTTATTCGAAAACTTTATATTTAATTGTGTACTGCATGTACCCCTATTGGCTTAGCTGCAAAATTTTAATGGTTTCCATGGACGGTTAAAAAAGGGTAGTACAAAAATAAGCTACTTTTTTACCTATTTGTTCTGTAGACCAACAGCTTAAGTTACTCTCTTAAGATAAGCTTTCTAGGTTAAGTACCCATACCGCTTTTTCGGTAAATTTATAGGTTTAGATGCTGCTAGTGAGCCATAATAGTTCTATTTACTCACACCTTAGTTAACTTTTAGAGTTTAGCGCGTACTACGTAAGCCTAAAAACATTATAATAAATATCTTTAACTAAATATATTTGTTTCTAAAAGGTAAAATTTGTGCACAAAAAGTTGAAATTTTGCTTTATTCTTCCCTTTTCTGTGGTTTAGGCTTCGAAGTCTATTAGAAATTTTTTGAGGGCGAGGCAAAACACGTGACCGTCAAAAATTGAGAAATAGAACAACTCCGGCGAGAACCGAACCCACAATCCTAGGATTTACGCGTTAGTACCCTCAACCGCTGAGCTATTACAACCCTCGGCCCAGCTACCAAAGTTTTATGTATTTGACCTGTTAAAGTCAATTCGAGAGGAGATAGTTTAAGTGAGCCCAGGCTTCTCAATTTTCAGTGTTTGGGATTTTTATAAGTATCAAAGTGGTTATGTTAAGCTTGTGTAAAAAAGGAAAACTGGCCGTAGATTGTCTTTTTATTTAAATAGTTTTACCCCTTTAAAACTTAAAAGGTAATATTAACATGCAAAAATATCAAGTTGCACGCACCACTTCTGATAATCAGTTCCTCTAACCTGGGCTTTATATTTAAGCACTAAAAAGGACCAGCTACTTGGTGCTGCTGCATAAAAACTATATTAAATTATTTTTGATCTCTTGGTAAAGGCATGCTTTTATTCGGTAAAGGAAGATTAATTTATTAAAAACATTTTTTAAGCAACAACTTAACAGAGCATAACACTAGATTATAAGGAAAAAAGCAGCTTAAGTTGTCGTTCGTGTTTCAATGACTGTGTTAGGTAGAACCCTTAATTTTATCCGCTTAACTTTCAATGTGAAAAACGAAGTAAACTTGTTTTTACTAAAGTAGAACGAAAAAAGCAAAGGTTTTACTTAGTAGAACACAATAACGAACAAACATTCTTAAAATGCTAAAGCAAAGCTGAAATATGTTTCCTACTCAAGCGTAGTTCATTTTTCAGCAACAAGTTATTGAATCAATAATAAACGCAAAAAGGAGAATACACTTTTCTACTTTTTTTTTCGTTCTACTTTATTAATACATTTTAATGAGCTAGCATTTTTAGTGTTCGTTCGTTATTTTGTTCTACTAAAGTAGAACCAATTGTTTTTTCGTACTACTTTAGTAGAACAAGTTTACTTTGTTCATATAGAACTTTAAATGGATAAAATTTAAGGTTCTATCTAATATAGACGTTCAAACACGAAATAAGGTTTAATACTAAGGGAGTAAATCCCTATTACATGTCTCTGAATCGAACATCCTGGTAAAAAATTAGAAATAAATCCTAAGAAATGGGCATAATATTGACGAAAGAGAACGATGCGAGCCTAAAAACTTAACTCTCTTTTGCACTCTTTTTCCGCAGCTTAGTTATTGAATAAATGGTGTTATCACCCAGAAGAATGAAAAGGTGTTACCAGGATATGGAGGCCTTCACTGGCCTACAGCAACTAATTTTATAGAATTTTATAAGGCGAATTTTGTGTCCCTCATCTTAAAGGGGGTCAGGATTTGTTCATTATCATATTCGCGTTTTTAGAGCTTAAACAGATATTTAAGGATTCGCCGATCTAATACAATGGTCTAAATCTGTCACCTTCCATATAAAAAAGGCGCACTTAGTGTTTATAAATTTTAAGTTCCTTTTTTCTTTTCTCTTGTCTCCATTTTTTTAGTTATATTTACAAATTCAAATTCTACAAGTTACGTCACCTGATAGTCCCGGTACTTTTTTAGCAGAATTCATCCTTATGTTTTAACATAGCCTCCTTCGAAAGCAATTTAATTAGTCCAACGCTTTTCAAATTTTTTACGCCATTTTTCGAACTTTTTTCGCTCTACAAAAAATTGCAGTTTCATCCCCTTCAGGCTAAAGAGATTTGTGGTGTATACAAAAAGATAGAAAAGGAGAAAATAGGAAATCGACCTTGAATAACATCATTAACGATAAAAGTTTCCGCAAAAGCGATTATCTAGCTTGCCTTGCAAACCCTGTGGAGTCGCTTAGGCCCTATAAAAGACCTTGAAAAATGTTGGTGCTACTGCTATAAAGACACCTCGGCTTAAACAGGACTCTAGCAAAGATCGCCAGGCCAGCTTGTTCTCAGTATTTAAATAAACTGTAGGGCTGAGATTCCGCAACTACAGGCGTTTGCAGAGGTGCGTAAAATGTTACCGACACTAGTAAATTTTCAGATTTTTCAGAAAGTCACGAAAGCCAACTTATTAAAGGTGCTTCGATCTTGTCTATTACGAAGGTTTCTCCTCCGGCATCCCGGTGTATTAATTTCTAAGCGGCCATGTCTATTGCATTCCTACCGATAATTTGCTATCACAGCCTCGTCTGCTTGCTGCGGGGATCTTTGCTGATCCCATTATTATGCGCGCTGCATGGACATGGCATACTAACCCCTGCCAAATGACACACGCGCATCGCGTATAAAGACGATAACACGGTAGACTACGCGGAAGCACGAATTTAATAAGCGGGCACCCGCAGCAATACTTAAAACCGTGATAGCTAGCGCTGACAAAGAGGCGTTGAGTTTTACGCGGTAAAGAGACAAGTGCTTTTTTCTCAAAGAAATACACTGTACTCGAATAATTCCATGAAACCCTCAGCAAAAACCATTACTAATAGGCTGTCGTGGCGAAAATTAAAACCACAAGCGACTCTACCCCCTGTTGTGAGCAAGAAGTTTCTCTTATACATGCGATCTATTAATTTCGTTAAGAACTTATATAAATGTACGAACTAAAAAGCTAATTAGGCGTCTACAGCTTAACGTCACTTCAAAGTTCTAAAGAAAATGCAAAAACTCGTAAGAAGAGAGTTACTTAAAAAATTCAGGGTATTTTTTTTTAATTGCCAATGAATACATGTGTTATCTGGTTAAGCAACAATAGATAAAGTATTGCAATGAGCAACAAGGGTATGCGTTTCTATAAATAGTAAGAATGGAACAAATATTATAAATCGATTTAGTTTATTTTATTATAACGCTTTAAAGATACATGGATATAAAGAACCTTTAAAAGAGATGGTCTTTGAGATTTTTAAATGCTGTCTGGGATTTCTTAGCGCCTTAAAAGTTTTTATAATTTGAATTCAGTGTATTCATGATTAAAGTAACAACAATATAGGAAAAAAGCGTAAACCTTGTAGGCTAATGAAAGTATAATTTCTCTGTTTTTCAGGAATGTTGAGGTTGTCTAACAATCTTGACATCTTCTTGGGCATGACGGGAAGAAGGAAAAGTGAAGAGACACGAAGAACTTCTACTATTACAGCAACAACAGCCTGCAGTTAGACTGAGTTACGTTTTGTTATGTTTAAGATAAAAATTTATAACGTTGAGGCGGTCCTTTTCTTGAGCTGTACTAACAGAAGAAAGTCTCCATGGTTCATTAACATAAAAATATTTGTTCGTCTGGAAACAATATGTTGTATACTAATAAATTACTAAAATAGATTTCGACTTAAGCATCCGCAAAAAAAGATGTTTTCTATATAATACAAAAGTTTAGAATTATAAGGGATGGCCAACCCAACTACTGCGGAGATGTGCCACCTTGCAAGAGGCGTCTTTTTTATTAACAGTTGTATACTACTAGTTATTAAAGAAAAAACAGTAGCACGCCTCAACCAACTTTATATTTATTTAACTTTATTATGAATTTTTAATATAAATATGTACAAATTCTCACTATGGACAATAAAAATAAGGAAAAAGATTGCCATTATTAATACAATACAGACGATAAGGACAATAAAAGGGATGGAAAAACAAGTTACATATTAGTACCTCATGGATGATATTTTCCACCAATGAGATTCCCTTATGAGAATCACCGTATTTATAGAAATTGTGTACTTTGTCTAATACACGCTGTTACAGAAGTCCCCAAAAATGATACCTTCATTAGAAAAAAGGACCTTTCAAATCCGCCAAGTTTCCAAGAAGCTGCAGATCGCAAGGCAGCAAAGCGAGATTACCATCCACCAAGCTTTTCTCCTGCACGTGACCGCTGATTCGCTCATTAATGCACCTGTCATAGCAATTAATGAAGTGAGCGTTTCACAAATACAAAGGCACTTGATTAAAGGGAACGGGTAAACCCGAATAAGCAGCCAATGCGCAAGCATACCTGGAAAACAAATTTCCAATTGCGTCGCGTAAAAATTTTATTTTACTAATCAAAGTAGCTTCATCAAATTCTAAAGAGTTTTTTTAGTCACTTATATTCTTTTAAGAAAACGAGTATTAAACCCGCATCCGATCCTAATATGGAAGAACTCAAAAAATAAAAACGGCATTCTTCTTCTCCGTACGTCTTAATAAGTTCAAACGGGTCAACAGCATTTCCCAAACTTTTAGATATCTTTATAAATACCGCAAAAAGTAAGGAAGTACCAAATGAAAAAATAAGGATCGCTATTATTTATGTTAAAAAAAATACTTTTCTACCGTTTCTGAGCCAATGGCCATGGCAGATAATATTTTTCGGCAAAGGCAAGTCCAGCGCTAGAAGAAACGCTGGCCAGTAGTACATGTGAAATCTGCCATAATAATTAACATCATAAACAGTGATGATAAGCAGAGAATAACAAATACTTGATGATGTCCTTCCCAATGATGTGATAATCCGCCGGCCAGCACGTGGTGGAGGGACAGGGAGGCCAGGGAAACCCTGCCATGCTGCAGTAGGATGCTTATAGAAGACGTTATAAATTAGAAATACCGGCGGAGGTTAAGTAAGTTGTTAGTGCGTCCAACCAGACATAAATCTATGAGAATTTACTAAAGTTGGTAGAGTGCCTTATAGAAAAGATAATAAGTAGCGCATATAAACAAAGCGATAGCTTATTATAGAAGCTGATAATGCAAATATAAAAACTTATTTTGCTTTTTTTTTAAAATTAAAATGCAAGCAGAAACCAAACAATTCATAGAACTGAAAACTTTATCAGAAACAGAATTTTTATTAATAACAGTAGTATGTCTAACATGCAGTGTGTTCTTACAATGAAAAATAACAGTAATTGTTCAAAAGAATCTAAAATTTATAAATTTTTTTACAAAACTTTCGCAGGGAAAAGGTAAAGTAAATTATTTTTTATAAATATTAATCTTGCATGTAATAAAGTTTACATTGGCTGCTTGTAAACTAATAAATATATATTAGCAAAAATAGTAGTAAATAACTGTTTGCGAAGGATCGTTTGGAACAGAAATTCCCCAGTGCATCCGCTGAAGAGGCCGAGAAAGAGAAATAACGTTATTGCTGGAAAGAAAATGAGCAGCGTAGATGGCCGACCAACGCTTCGGGTGGCCTCAAAGAGTTTTTATAAATAAATAATCTATCGATTTAGCTGTCAGACGGGCTCTATAACGATACAAGGTTGGCTTTTTAGCCAGTCTTCTATGCAGTTCCTCAACTTTTCCGTAGAAAATACGTAATTGGACTCACTTATCCAGTGAACGACGTTTCCCGTGTTAAGATTGAGCATCTGTAAATAATAGAAAAGAGTAAAAACTATTTCCTACGTTGCTGTAGAATTGCTAGTAATCAAAATATTTATGAGCAGAGAGGCTATCAGATATATATAATTTTAAAAGAGGCCTTTTTTTTTAAGTTAGACGAGTGTCAATCAATATGTAAAAAAAAATTAAAGAAAAAAATTAACTTTTTCATGATCTGATTTGTCTGCTTCGATAAAAGATTGAGGAACAAAAACTTCTTCATTAGCATCGTACCAACCGCTGTAGTCTGCTTTAAAAATAAATCCTTTTGTTTCTAATATATCCTAAATATATTAAATAATTTATTTTCAGTTATTCGCAAAAAAGACGAACGAAAAAGTTTGCAATTAAAAAAGGTGAGTTTAAAAAAAAATTTTTTTAACTGGCCTGTTCTTCTATTTTGAAAAAAAAAAAACAATAATTTATGGTAAATATTATCTTTAATATAACCCAGACAAATTTAACAGTCTCAATATGATCTTGGTCTGTTGTGCGAATAAATCTATCATACGAGATGTTGGCCTCCTTAAAGAGTTTCTATAAATATGGTAACAACGACAGTAAAAATAGTAAAATATTAGCATAAAGCTACAATCAAACAAAATATAAACAACATAACAAAATAAAAATGATTTAACTTTGAAACGAGAGGAATTGAAATCACAAAACTCCTTCTCACGAATTATTCGTCCCTCAAGCTATGCCGAAGTTAATAATATAATAAAAGTATATACAAAGTTACTTAAAAGCGATAGAAGGACCTACTTGAAAGTAAGATTTAATAAATTAAAAAAAAAAAATACAACATACTTGTGAAAGACGTGCAGCTGAGTGTTGCACCTTTAAACCATGATCGTCAGTTCCTTTAGAAATAGTATATTTGTAAACACAAAAAGAAAATTTAAGATAGTATTAAAGACCTGTAGTAAAAAAAACTTTAGCGCCGAATAACCTATAATACCTAGCCAAAAAATCTCCCAGAAGAGTTGTATGAAGGTGACCAATATGTGGCACAGAGTTAACGTAATATATAGGGGTGGTAATGTAAACCTACATAAAACTTTTTAAAGAAATCCTGAATACTATAAAGGCAAATAACAGTTATTATGGCTGAAACTAAAAATTGTTTAAATTTCTTATTTAATTTATGCTAAAATATTTTTACGCACAGGTTTGTGATCAGGGCTTTTAAAGTGCTTAACGACTTTTTCTATAGTTTCCAAGTTTAACACGTTTGTACGGTCAAACAATTGTGATCGACCAGGACGAGTCGTCCGCGAAAAAGATCTTGTCAAGAACTTATTTATAATATTGGTAGGTATCATAAGAAAAGGCTGTACTTAGATTTTAAAATGCCCAGGGCTGAGGCCTAAGGTGATACAAATGAAGCAAAGTGGACATTTTCGCAGAAAAAAACTATAAATAAAGAGCAACACACGTTATCACTGAAGGTTTGCCATCGGGGAGGTTGACGACTTGTACCTCGGGATTCAAAAAAAAAATCCCACTGTGAATGACTTAATTAACTTCAACAGTAGTGCTACTGGAGTAGTAGGAGTGGGCGCTCGTCCCTCTCCCCCTATGTTCCTCCTTGCTCTCTACTTTATCAAAAGTATCTGTTACTGTTGCCCGTTACGAATTTTAAGTAAAATTTATATCAAATAAAGGGATAAAAGGAAACAATTATTTTAGCAAAGAATAGGCCACTTTGGAAAGGTTAGGTAAAAACTATTTGGTGATTACAAAACTTTGTATACAGGTGCACCCTACTGAGTATAAAAAAACCTACAGTAGAAATAGTTTATTTCAGGCAAAAACTACATAATGGAATAAAACCCTGATTATGTGTAATTAAAATACAAGATATACTCTTACAAGACCGCAAAAAGTTGGGGGACCCCGTTTTATAGAAATTATTAAGGTACTGGAAAAGCAAATAGACAGTTATAAATATTAGGCTACTAGTATTTTGCTAAAAATTAACATATTATGAAAATAATAGTAAGCGGCATCTATAAAACGACAAAAGTCTATTTTTCTTGTTAAAATAAAATCATAATTTTGAAAAAGTCAATTGAATTAGTACATATTCTGCACCACTAATTGTGGCGAGAAAGTCAAAACAATCTAGCTTCTTTTCCGGATATCTTAAACTTTATTTATTTGGGACGCTTCAAATGGGAAGTCCTAAAGATTATCGATGGATTTTGTCAACAAGAGATATTCACTATTAATTCCGTTTTTTTAACTCGCGTTCTACTAATTTACAACCAAAAAAAATTACGCGTGACCTACAGTAAAAGTGTTTTCCTCAATCAAATTTTCGAATTTGAGGGCATCCGCTCTGTTTGAGTTGCTTTAGGTTTTACGTGGCGTAGCGGTTTCCTTTGTGGTCGTTGTATTTAGACAAATAATAGCTATACTTGTAACTTGTTTACTGTGTTGAGGTTTATTAGATTTCTCGATTCACCTCTTTCTAATATCTGTGTATTATTATTATTAAAAGAGCCATGAATCCAATTAACGAACAACAAGCTACTAAAATTTTGAGTCCGAAGCCTTCTCCCCACAGACTTATAGTAGAAGAATCTGTGCATAATGACGACAATAGTATTGTTTGTATTAACCCGGTTCTCTTATTATGTATTTATACTGAAGTTGCAATGAATATATTTTACAATTTATTATATTCTTGTTTTAACATTCTTTTAAAATTTTATTTAACATTTTTAAACAGGATAAATTGCAAGAATTAGGCTTATATCGCGGCGAAGTGGTTCTTTTAAAGGGTTAATTAAGAAAATCTTGTTATATAAGCCTGTAACATAAAAATTATTTAGGAAAAAAACGAAGAGACACCGCTTGTATCGTTTTAATTGAAGATTGTAAGCCGGGATTTATTAGAATGAATAAAGTTGTTCGAACAAACTTAAGAGTTCAACCGGGTATAATTAATATTGAATTCTCACTAGAAGATCAATTTGAGGGCTTCTTTTTTTAAGCTGTCTTTTTTATGTTGCAAACAAAATTTAACGATCGCTCGGATTAGTATGTCTTCTCCCTATCAGGGCTAGTGCCTCTATTATTTTTATATTTACACTGTAGAGAAAAAAAATTACCATCTATCAAAAATAATCAAACCTGTTTACTTTATATTCAATGTTAATTAAAAATTCTTGATTTCTTTTCCATGCATCTCAGTATACTGCGTTTTTAAAATATTTTTTACACTCTCCCATTATATATTTAACTTATTCCAATACTTTTAGAAGAATTTTAGTAAGTTGAAGGAAGCTTTAAAGACTAATAAAAAAAAATTTCCTATTGACCTAAATTATCTTGTAATATAAAAATAATTGTTTGTAAGCCTACATTTTACGTGCATCTTTTCTCTAGTCTTATGCCTTGCGGTTAGTTGAGAGTAACTTTAAAGTAGTTTTAGTATGTTTTAAAAAAAATTAAAAATAATTGTATCAGTTATAAATTTTTTGTGAACAATAATTTTTCAATAGTAAAGGCGAGCAAAGGACTTACAAATACTGTGGGCCCCATAAACTTTTATTATTTAATTTATTTGCAACTGTCCAGGAGATATTGTTGCTGTGCAAAAGTATGAGGATATCAAGTATGCGGAGCGGATCCAAGTTTTGCCTGTGGACGACACGGTGGAAGATATAACAGGTCCGTTTTAGTATATTTGGGTTTGCCGTTAAGCGAACTCGTGCCTTTTAAAATCCTAATGCAACGCTTCTTTTATATGTTGCAATATTTTTTATTTATTTTTATAATAACTTTTTATTATTTTTTGCAGGAAACATATTTGAAGTGTTTTTGAAGCCATATTTTCTTGAGGCTTATCGACCAGTCAGAACGGGCGATTTGTTTCAGGTTACATAAATTTATTCTAGTCTTATAATTTAATTCTTATAATTATTATTGTTGTAATGGTGAAAACCAATATTTTTTTTAATACAACCCTTTTTCTCACATTTATGTATATATCTCAGTATATTTTTGGATAACTTTTTTTAAAGGTGCGTGGAAGTATGCGATGCGTGGAGTTTAAAGTAGTTGAAGTTGTTGAGGGGCCTTTTGGAATCGTGGCGCCCTCCACGGAGATATTTTGCGAGGGCACACCGGTAAAGCGCGAGGATGAAGAGGGTTAGATGAGGGTTTCTATTCATGTTCTTTTTTAGTAATTATTGCTATCATTAGAAATCTTGAACCAGATTGGATACGATGATATTGGCGGCTGCAGAAAGCAACTGGCTATCATTAAAGAAATGGTTCATATTTTTTAGTACTTCGGACGTGTAACAAGTTTTTTTTGTTGTCTTTTATACATTAAAAAAATCGAAGCTTGCGATGTTTTATTTTCACTTTTTTTATAACTATATTATTTTACTTTCGTATTACTTTTAATAAATTTATTGACTTTTTATTTTTTAGTCCACGTGGTGTTTACTATTGTTCATTATGAGTGACATATAAAACGCTCTAAGTAAAAGCTCACATTTGAGGAGGCTATGAAGGAATTATAGTGATATTTACTATTTTTTTTTAAAACAGGTGGAACTTCCTCTTCGGCATCCCTGTTTGTTTAAAAAGATTGGAATCAAACCGCCACGTGGTATTCTTCTTTACGGGCCTCCTGGCACAGGGAAGACTCTTATTGCACGCGCCGTGGCCAATGAGACAGGTATACATTTCTTTTTTTTCAATCAATAAGCTCTCAAAATTTATTCTTCAGACAAATCCCTTTTTTTACACTATTATAGTCAATAACATTTCTGGTATTAGGCGCCTTTTTTTTCTTGATTAATGGGCCTGAAATCATGTCAAAAATGGCGGGCGAGTCGGAAAGTAATCTTCGAAGAGCTTTTGAAGAAGCTCAAAAGAATGCGCCAGCCATTATTTTTATTGATGAAATCGATTCCATCGCGCCAAAACGAGAAAAGGTAAGCATAAGCATCCGTTTGCGGAGGGATTAATGAAGTGCGTTTCGCGACGTAGACACATGGCGAAGTGGAAAGGCGCATTGTATCGCAGCTGTTGACATTAATGGATGGCATGAAACCTCGTGACCACGTTATCGTGATTGGCGCCACAAACCGGTATGGCCACATGCTGTGGTTCACGCGTGCCAACTGGGTGTTATAACTCGTTAGAAACGTAGCTTGTGCAGCTTTACTACTTTTAAAAGTTTTATTGGTTATGCGAATTGCTTTGAGCAAGTAGAAAAGCGTTTATGTTTTCTTTGAAATTACTTGGTTTCCTTATAACGACTTTTATATTTTTTGCTTCCTGTTGGTAAAGTTTTACTTTTTTTTTACTTTGCTCTTTGGCTACTAGCGCCGGGTATTCACATTGTACCTTTTTTAGCGCAAACTCCATTGACCCTGCTCTCCGGCGGTTCGGCCGTTTTGATAGGGAAATTGATATTGGTATTCCCGATGCCACCGGCCGGATGGAAGTTTTACGGATTCACACTAAAAATATGAAGCTGGATAAAGATGTTGATTTGGAAAAGGTTTCACTATTTTACTAGCAATATAAAAAGAATGATTCTTGCTACCCTAACCCTAACCCTAACCCTATTAATATATATGGTAATTCTAAGAAATATTATTTACTAGATTGCTCGCGAATCACATGGCTACGTTGGGGCGGATCTGGCTCAGTTATGTTCCGAGGCTGCCATGCAACAAATCAGAGATAAAATGGATTTAATAGACTTTGAAGCGGAGAAAATCGACGCGAGGCATCCTTATGCATAAAATATTATTGGCACTTCAACTTTGCGTTTTTGTGTTTACTGGTGCATATCTCAACTGATTTTCAATGAAGTCTATTTATTTGCAAATAGTGTTCTTGATGCACTTGCTGTTTCTATGAAAAATTTCCGCCACGCTCTAGGGACATCCAATCCTTCTGCTCTGCGAGAAACAGTCATCGAAGTATTATTATAGCGATGACCACGTCACCAAGCTCCATTTGGAATTCATTATTTTATTTTCACATTGCTAGACGCCGAACGTGTCCTGGGAAGACATTGGCGGCCTTGTGGATATCAAACAGGAGCTACAGGATCTCGTGCAGCTGCCCATTCGCTATCCAGATCATTTTCACAAATTCGGCGTTTCTCCGCCAAAGGGGTTGCATCTGATTAGTGGGCATTTTTGTGAGACTCTTCTTCATTGGTTATATAAGGGTTCTTCTTTACGGGCCACCGGGCTGCGGGAAGACGCTTCTGGCGAAGGCCATAGCCACCGACTGCCAAGCAAACTTTATTTCGATAAAAGGGCCGGAGCTGTTGACCATGTGGTTTGGCGAATCGGAGGCAAATGTCCGCGATATTTTTGATAAAGCGCGCGCTGCTGCTCCATGCGTCCTCTTTTTTGATGAATTGGACTCGATTGCCCACTCACGTGGTGGCTCGATTGGCGATGCCGGCGGAGGTTTACTGACAATGAATTTTTTTTAAAATTGTTCTTGGTGAAAAAATTTCCTAGATAGTAAAACAGTGGACCAATGACTGACTGTTTCTTGACTAATTTCCACGTGCATCATTTATTATTTTTTTAGCGGTTGATCGCGTTATTAATCAAATTTTAACGGAAATGGACGGGATGAGTACCAAGAAATCCGTCTTTATTATTGGGGCGACCAACCGACCCGGTAAATATGGTTGGCGACTGAAAGATATAGAGAGCCAGTGACTTCCGCTATGTAGACATTATTGATCCAGCTATACTACGACCTGGCCGGCTGGACCAGCTGCTGTACA